GTTGGGGGGGGGAGGGAGGGAGGGAGGGTGAGGAAAAAGAATGAGTAATCATTTTTGTTTGAATTTCAATAAGTATGAAATATTTCTCGGGAGCCAAAAAAATCTTGGAAAAGCAGAAAGACATTCTTAAATGGCTGGTCATAATGGGAGCATTGTCACGTTGTAGTGCTTCTTTCTTAAAGGGGAGAAAGTGTTGGGGAGTCGAAACGTTTCATTCATAAGGGTATGCAGTGAGCACACAGGACAGTACTTTTAGAATAATTTAAACTAGTACTTAAAAATGAAATCACTGTAATTACCCGATTCTGGTTTAATAAGTGCAATTTGTCTTTGATGTGAGTATCTAGTGAAAAAGCCCAACCTCTTGAGTTAGAGCCCAGCGATATGGTTATTGGAGGAGTGAAAGTATTACCAGTTTTCATGAGTTGCCAGCAAGGTGCCTTTTTGTAGCCAATTTGCTTTTTAGTTTTGTAACATTTTGGCTGCTGAAGCCATTATGTCTGCAGATACCTATTGCATAGGGCTTTTAAGGAGGCAGAGGGTGCTGCTGGGGGAAAAGTCCTTTTCTCTCCCTCCCCCCCTGCTAAAAGTGCAGGTTTGTTTTTGTTTTCTTCCCTAAGGAGGAACACTGATTTGAAAACTGCCATTGTCTCTGAAATTTGCTTCTTTAACGTAGAACTGTGTTTAAAGAAAAAGCGTGTGTGCTGGCCGTAGTTTTCTGGGTTAACTTCTTATTTCGACTTACAAAATTTCTTTTCAGCTGGAAAAATGTTTTACATTATAACCATTAAAAAAAAATCGTAAAAATTGCTCCTAGCAAGCAAAAATACTGTGGAAAACCTGTAATTTAGACAAGTACCTACATTTTATTTGTTCTGTGCTGCTGAAATTTAGAATCCCTTCCCATTTACAGTTTACTTTTCACAGAACATTATTAACTTTTTGGCTTCATACATGATCTTCTGTCAGATGCTTTTGATTTGTAATTTAGCAAAGTATAATAAACAGTGCAAAAGTCATGAATTTTCCTCCGCATCCTGAGCTCTGTGGTAGGGAAAATGTGATAAAATGTGTACCTTAAGTCTTGTTTGATGATCTCTCAAAGCAAGTTTGCCTTCTGGAAATAATTTCTGGGGTTGAAGAGCATGGTATTAACAGATTTAATGTGGCTATTCAATGGATTGGTGGAGTACTATGTGAGGTTTAACAAAATGAGAGAGACAAATTGAACATCAACAAAACCTACATCTGCGAAGAATTATAAATTTAATTAGAAGAAAGGCAAACTTAAAAGACCTCATTAACTAATCAGAATTTGATGTTCCTGATTTAAGATTCTTAAATGGATGAATTTTAAGTAACTTTGCTATCATTGTCCCTTTTTTTCTCGCCATGTTCTATATAGTACTCAGATCTCCAATTCTTATTAGAGAGATGTGAAAGTTACTGACAACAATCAAATGATACACAGTAATATTTCTGAGGTATTAAGGAGAATGTGTGTGTCATTTAGCATATGAAACATTTTTAGTTTTAACAGAGTGCCGAGTCTGAAGGGTGAGTGACAGCTCTTTTTTTCTCTTTGTGATTTTTGTTGTTGTTGTTGTTGTTGTTTTTTAATGTGCCCCTTTGACTGGCTGAGTAAAACCATTGCATTTTTTAAAAATTATTTTTCCCCCCCACTTTTTGTTTGATATGTGAGTGATGTTGCAGAACTTCAATTATCCAGAAATCTGTTGGCAAAATGGGAGAATGTATGAGTGCTAGCACACGCCACCCAGAAATGTTTTTATTCTATGAACTGGTCGTCATAAGTGTGGTTTGTTACTATGTTGTAATTTTGTACTACACATAAAAAACTGGAAGCATGTGAAGTGTAGCATTTTGTAAACTGTAACTAATTTCACTCACATCTGTGTCTAATTGTTGTCTGCATTCGCATTCTTGAGAGTAGATTTATTTTTCCTGGACCACTCTGTGGATTCAGCTGACCAGCCTAAGTGAGGATTAGTTGTTTTAAAGTTATTTTGATTAAAGAGTCATTTTTAAATATGGTAACGTGCAACACATGGTTTAAATAATCCTTGAGACACAAAGGAATATATATAAAGTATGTCTAAAGAAAATGAAGATTGTGGATATGAACTTTCACAAATCATAGAGTGTTACAGGACATATAAAGTATATATTTAATCCTCTATGGATGAGGTGCATTTCTTTTTTTTTTTTTTTTTTCCCCTCTCCCATGAATTCTTAAATGAAATCTCTCTCACTCTCCACACACATGCATGTATATGTGTACATTTGTAAGTGTTCAGAAGTTATAATTTGTTTAATTTATGTAAATAAAATAGTGGGGATTCATTGCATTTTACAGTTTAAGGACATATCCATAATACTGTAGGGCACTTTGGAAAATATTATTTAATTAAAGCATCTATTTGAAAAAGGATTTTTTTTTCTGTTATAAAAGATATGTTTTAAAAGATCCTGAGCAAGAGGGAGTGAAGATAGCTCTGTAAGCAAACTTAGTTCTCACCTATAATTTTTTCCAGGTGTTTAGAAGTAATAGCAGAAACATATCCTAAGGCAGTCTGCTGCAGTTTCTGGGGTAAAGAACTTAAAATAAAAATTAAAACAAAATGCACAGTTTTGAATATATCTGCTCATCTAGTTTGATTTGGCATGCGACAGTGTATTGAAAAGCACATTATGCAGTACTTTAAGTACCCAGTTATAAAAAGATTGATGTTTTTCAGCATGCATTATTGCATGCTTCTTGACGTCATCTGTAATGTTCTGCATTGCCTGGCTGCTCCTAGCAGTTGTTTACTCTTGCTGGTAGTAATTCTGCCTGAGATTAAAAATAACAACAAAAAAATCCTACAAGCGCATAAGTAGGTTTTGCGTGGATGATTTTTATGGCGCTTTAAATGCCTCATCTCTCTTGTCTTAACTCTGTGATCATTTAAGAGATGTCAGTTCAGGTTGAATGGAAATGCACATGAAGGATTCTCAATGCAGACATTAAGAGGATATATACCTTACCCAGAGAAGCCTTTGTGTGCTTTTAAGGTAACAGTGTCTAGCCACGTATCTTCACCTGAATTTTATCATCTGCTGACAATTGTTATTGGCTACAGAGAGAAGTCTGTTAGCAAAGCAACAGTGTTTTTCCAAAAGATATGAAAATCTGTTGCTCACCTGAGTTTTAAAAGGAGTAATTTTATTAAACTTGAAACTCAGTGGAGCCAGATTATTTTTCTTGATGACTGACCTCAGAAGTAAATGCTACAACTTCCTCCTATTTATTTAGCCAGAAGTGTTCTTTTAAGTAATTTTATCAGAAATCTCATTAGTGACTGGAATTTTTATGAGTGAGACCTTGTGCAGTAACGTCGGGGGGTTTTTACTTTATTCGCTTTATTCGTTTTGAGGTAGTTGTGTAATACTCTTGGGCATATATCGAAGATCTTTATCCTAGGTAGACCTACCCCTTGTCACCAAAAAATAAATAGTGTCACCCTCTTCAGCTTCCTTCTCTCCTGGCCTTGGGGGTGAGCTGACTTGTGGGTGCCCCATTGCCCAGGCATGGAGGAAGGATGGCGAAGGGTGGAAGAGGAGGAAAGCCAATGTGACGAGGGCAAGATGCTGTCAAGAGTTAGGGGGATGGGAGGGAGAGATAACCCAGCCAGAGATATCAAGAGGCAAGAGGGGCAGAGGATGCTGGGGGGCTGGGGGCTGGAGTGGCCGCTGCGGCTCCTGCTGCCCTTGGGGGGCGGCACGGCGGGGTTACCTTCACGCGGTGCTCGGCCCCGTGCCGTGCGGGGCCGTGGGAGGAGTGAGCCCCTCTGCAGCTGTCATGGGCCCCTGATGAATCACTATCCCGTCACTTGGCCGCCGTCCCCCGGCGTGGGGAGGAGGGAGAGAGACCTGCCGAGGAAACAAGAGTTGAGCCTTCAATTTAAAGACAATATGCCTTTCACCAGCACCGTGCCCTCCTCCTCTCCTTCTGGGTTTAAAGGACAGAATTGTCATCCGCAGTGATATCCTTGCTTTAAATTAAGGCCTCATCGTAAAGCAGAGTAATAGAGGCTTCTGTTTGTTTCCCTGGTCTACAGGTGCAGAATCCCCAAACTGGTTCAGATGTTGCTGCTTCCTCAAGCTACAGGTAAGGATTTGATTGAAAATTGCTATTTTTCTATAAGCCTTTTATTTATTTTTTTAAACTTCAGGTGAGGAGTAAACATTTAGCCTTGTTTTCCACATTAAGAGTAAGTGCTGGAGCATCGCTTTTACGTGCGTGCAACCAAGTCTGCAAATTATGAGCCTGTACACTTTTTCACGAAATTGTTTGACTTTATATCATTGCGGTATTTCAAGCTCATTACGCTTATCATTCTCTTTTATGTGTAGATTGGTCTAGGTAATGAAATATAAAATTAAAATTTGAATTTAGAGCTTGTGTAAGATCTCATTTAAAATGTGAAAACTTCATAGCTGCAATAATGCTTATGCTTTCAGGATATTCATACCATTACTGTGGGAGGAATTTTAAATATAATTTTAATAGTCTTTAAAAAAGAGCTTAAGCATTTCTTTTAAACAGAAAAATTACTGGGTTAAATGCCTTGGAGGCACAGTAACCTACAGAATTTCTACTGGGAGCAATTACTTAGACTGAGCACATCAGAAAACATAATCAGAAGCTTTAGTTATAAAGAAACAGAAGGATGGGACACTTCAATCATAAGCTTCCCCAGCATCAACCAAGAGATATGTCATGGTGGTGACTGCTGATGACCTTTTTATGTATGACTATTAAAAATGCATATTGGAAATATTCAGCTGCTTGCGTGCTGTATAGACATTTAATTTTTGCTTTGAGTTAGAATTGACTTCTCTTCTTATTTTGACTAAGTGACAGCTGCTGAGATACAGCAGAGTGCTAAGGCAGACTAACACCTGTATGGATTCACTGTATGTTGATCATATCCCTTTTCAATTGGGCACGCTTTATGTAATCCACAAAGCAAACAAGTGAGCAGACATAATAATGTTTTAATGCTGCATTTGTTTCAACGGAAACAGGGGAACAATTAAGTATTTTGCCAGAGTAAACACATACATCAGGAATATCTCATTCCCTGTCAGGAGATGATAGGTTTCCACAATTGTTTCAAGTGTTTTATTTGGTTTGGAGGCCCATTATCTTGCCACTGAGTGGTAAATCTTGAAAAAGGAGAGTGTTAATTTGTTGTTAAGAGAATATATGGCTCTGTGGCATGAATGTTTAAAGTGAACTACTTTGTCTTAGAAGCTGCAAAAATAATTGCAGCGGTAGCTGTTCAGTCGCTCGTGTGGGGCTGCAAAGGGAGTTTAGGACTAGAAAAGATGAAGTTGAGAGAAGCTGTTCGTTTTTTTACTAAGTGTTTTGGGGATGCTGATTAATAGTGGGCTGTCTCACATATAGGCAATTCCTCTGTAGTCCATGTTGAATATGTCACTAAAACTAATTGCGTCTTGTTTTCAGGTCTATGGAAATGCAGGATCTAGCCAGCCCACATAGCCGACTCAGTGGTAGTAGCGAATCCCCCAGTGGTCCAAAACTTGATAACTCCCATATAAATAATAACTCCATGACACCCAATGGCACGGAAGGTGAGCCACCATATTTTTTATCCTTTCATGGTTTATTTTTTCTCCTAGTTGCATTGGATTTTCTTGCAGTCAGTAAGCTATAAAGAGAAACTGTTTTACTATTTTAGGTGTTCCGTGTTTATGTAATATGGTGTGGAGAGCCCATGTTCAATGTTTATCAGTAGTTACTATTATCAAGTTTCAGCAATAGCTTTTATTCCAGTTTTATGTTCCTTTCATGGAGTTTGAATGGACTGAGCAGGTAGCATGTGTAGAGCTTAAAATAAAAGACAACACAACGAAAACCTGAAAGGGTAGTTAATAGATGAGAATAAAAGAACGTGTTTACCATTGTCGTACTACAAAACACAATCTTTCAGTCCTTTTCACTATTTTGATATTTCTTTATGTTCTCACTTTTTGCAAGCTCCCGAGGCTATGAAAATTTTGTCAAGTAGGCTAATAAAACTGAGTGTTGAAATTTCCTCAGGCAAGCTTGCTGCTCTGATGGAGTGGCCAAAATTCAAACAGGTGTAGTAATTCAATGGGGTAAACTGATACCTATTTTTCAAGAAGCAGTCAGGCAGTTGATAAGTTATGTTTGTTCTCAGTATAATACTAACAGCAGAACAACCTAACAGCTTTACTGGGAATATAGCACATATGTGATGCATATAATAATACATATAATGAAACACAGAAGGTTTTCTATAATAAGCAGCAAAAAATACTCTTTCGTTTCTATGGCAGTAGTAGGAAAGATTGTACATGACATTTGGCTAGCTATGTGAACAGAGATTTTTAATGCATTACTAGAAAAGAGTCACACAGCTTCATTGCTTTTCAATTTAAATGCATAGTTAAACAACTGTTGTAGAAAATATATGCCTTTTTTTCCCTAAGAACTGGGTCATATTAGTGCTGTCAGACTGTTTAGGATTATGGACATGCATTGCATTCTTCCAGGAAAGGCACATGCCAATCAAACAGATGTCATCCCCCCTCAATTCCCTACTCCCTACACATCTCTGTTATTCATTCTAATTGGAGTCCTCTGTAGTGGAGAGGGTTTATGGGTTATCAGATTAACAGGCATTTGTGCCAGAGTTGTGTATAATTTACTTTTTGCTATTGCTGTAAAAGTATTGCTGCAATATGATTTTAAGCCATTGCGGGAAAAAAAAAAAAAAAAAAAAAAAAAGGAAAAGAAAATTAAAAAAAAAAAAGAAAAAGAAGTAGCTTTTTAAAGAATAAATAAAATGCTTCATATGTTAATGTTAAAGCAGAAAAATCTTTAATGGCCACAGATGAATCTTCTTCCTTTTAAATACCCAAGTATGTTATTATATTTTTGCATCATATTATCAGATATATACCAGTTTTGGTACAGGATAAAATTGCTCAACGCTCTCAAATTAAAATTCCTCTAGCTCACAAAAGCCTTTGCAGTAAACTTCACCAGCTTTTGTACCTTCTCTGTAACTTGAAGATTCTTTAGTAGCACAAAAATAGGGAGAGTTCCTTGAAAGACTGAAAGATACTCGCCATCTGGCTCGACTTATTGTTCTAACTAGTTGTATGAAGGCATACACTCTGAAAAAAGGGGTGCTTAGTATTACTCTATCAGGAAATTAGGTGTATATTGTACCTGTACATGCACTTACCTCAGGTAGCAAGTAATTTTGGAACAATATCCCAACTTCTAGGTAGGTATCAGAGTTTATTGAAGAAAATAAATTAAACCACAGTAACTTATTTATATGAAACTAGAATTTTCAAGTTCAGGCTTATTAATTTTGGGTGAATTCTACCCAGAAAGCTCAAACTTGCAATACGTGTTTACCTTCTGAGACAAAGCCAAATGGTTTTCTTTTGTTTGCAATTTTCCCTCAGGTGACATGACCCTCCTCAGCACCGCAGACTGGTTGCTAAGCCCTAGCACACAGAGCCCCGCAGGTTTGGGGGGCTGCGGTGGGCGCAGCAGCGTGGGCACTCAGCATGCGATTTCAGATCTTGTCCAAAAAGTGTCCTGAGAAACAGCTTGTGCTTGGCGATTCTGGTCCAAACTTTCCAAATTGAAAACTCCTGTCTCTGATTGCTCTTAAGTGACAAATAAGGAAAAGTTTGTGAAAGAAACAAACTGAATCATTTATTTCTGAATTAGATGTGTGCTTAGAGACAAAATTTGTGAGTGACGCAGACGCCTAAGAATCTGAAGGTGGAATTTTTACTGTGAATCTGTTTTATCTTGAGGAAATGTTTTGTTTGAGTTCCTTGAGCTGCTAAACAGGCTTAAGAAAAAAAAAAAAATGAGTGAATGAAGCAAGGTTTTGATATTTTATTTTAATGATGGGTGAAGTAAAATTATTTTTTTCTGAGATTCTTGAAGCAGAATCCTGCTGAGACACAAGTGGCAGATTGTAAGGATGCAGTCTTAAGGGCTTGCCAAACACCTTTCTTAAAATGCTGCTGTGTGGTTTGCTTGCTTGTTGCATGTGGAGTGGAGATGTGGGTTGTTGAACCTTCATATGTTACATATCATATAGGAAAGCAGCTTCTAATCTACTACGCACTTGTTCTCCCTAGCATGAAAGAGCCCTCCTTTTCTGGCATAAGGGACTTTCATGTGAATGAGAAACAGGGCCTCTAGGTATTTGCATGTTATAAATATCTTGTAAAGATATGCTAAATTTGATTTGACTATGGGTGCGATTTCGGCAGCTTTCCATACCCTGAATCCAGGATACGTGCACTAGAAGAGGGTGAGGGAAAAAACCCAAACCTGTCTGGAAATGAAATGGCACTGTTTCAAACAAATGTTCATTAATTGCTCTAAGGCAGATTTTCAGACTTGTCTCTTATTGATGTTGTTCTACAAGAGGATGTGGTTGAAAGATACCCCACTGTTATTAGCTAATATTTTTAACTTCATACTAGTGGTAGATTTCAAAGCACTGAATGGGGATTTTAGTTGTTTGATTGAGTTTGAGTCTAATCTCTGCATGCATCTTTTATGTAGTAATTCTTTGTGTGCTTAATTTCACTTTGGTAGAGCAAAACTGCAGTAGTGCAGAACTGACCAGGTAGTGCTGGCTGAGAGCTAAAGCTGAAGAAAAAACACAGTTTTGGGTAGCTGCTATGTATTTCCTTCTAGCTAAATATTTTTAAACAGGTCAGATTTACTATTTCTTGTCTCAGCAATTTCTCTACGGAATTCTTTTAGAGATCAGTGATGTCTGTAGGACAAACAGTATCCTTTTAAGTTTGTTGAAGAACATGAGCCTATCTTCATAGTTCTGGATGTATGTGTGGTGAAGGGGAAAGTACCATTTCCTTAACATCTTGATTAAAAAAAAAATAATCATAGAAAATAAGAGGTAGTTACTATGCTGGTGTTAGGTTTTTACCTTCCTCTTCTCTGGGCAAGTATGGTCTTCTAACCAGTGATGGGGAAGTAACAAGGAAATTATAGATGTTTACCAGTCAGAAATTTCCCAGGATCAAATGCAGAGGACTAACACTAAAATGTCTGGCTAAAGGCACTCAGAAAAATCAGTCCTGACATGCCAAGGTATTGCTGATGATACAAATACAGGAGTATTTGAGTTTTCTGTGATCTCTTTAAGTGTTTTTCTACAAAACACCCTCAGTTGTAGGGAGCAGCAGACACTGGACACCATTAACATTTTCGCCTTGTATGACTTGCCTAAGAAAATGTTAAAAAAAAAAAAAAAAAAAAAAAAAAAAAAAAAAAAAAAAAGAGAGAATTGAAGTGGGGATCACAATGTTCATAGTTGTGCCTTATCTCTAATCTTCCTTTGTCAGCAAATTGCTGTGGTGAGGCAATACTGAAGGAGTTAAAGAAACAATAACAACAGAAGCTAATAAAATTGCCATTTGTTAAGTTTTATCAGACAGCTAGTGGCTTTTCCAACAACAATGCCCACTTGGGTATATAGTTTTAGAGGGGAAAGACAGTGTGCAATCAATCTGAGAGCAAAGCTATTTTCCATAGCAGACAACTGCATCCAGTTTCTGCCTACAATGATCTTTACTTTTATCTCAAGGATGTAAATCAGTTCTGATGGATTACATAGAGTGAGAAACAGAAGCCTATGGCCCATCATGATGATGTTTTATGCAACTGGAATGGAAAAGAATAGAAGAAGATTGGGAGAAGGAGCCGGGGTTTACCAAGCAACTGGACTTCATTCATGTTAGGAGTATGGAGCTGCCTCTGCCCTCATTTCTCAGTGTTTAGGAGGAAGAAGAGAGGGCATTTTCATATCAAGCAGGAAGGAAAAATGGGTAACAAATTGAAGATCAGATTTTCAAAGATACATAGGAAGGGAGGCTTCAAAGGGAATTGGACATCAAAATTCCTTTGGAAAAAAAAAGATTCTCACTCTATAAGTACCTGCTGCAACATGAGAATGAGATCCCACACAAAGGCATTCAAAGCTCCCCACTATGTGACTATCTGATGAGTGGCCATTAGAAATGTTGTTATAAATCTGGTGAATGTAAATCCATCTTCAGGGGTTCAAAAGGCAGTGCTATGTAGTATGTTTGCTGTTGAGCTGCAGTATTATACAATTGAGAGAAAGTTATTTTGAGTATTTTCTGAAGTGATGGTGGAGTAAGATGTTGAAATCCGTAGCTGGAGTATGAGCTGGTCATTGTTTCAGCACACGATGTAGATTTTTTTTAAGTAAAAGTATTTGTTGTAATTCTAACAATACTTTGTAGCACTCAAAATAGTCTTTCAGTATTGCAGTCAAGCCTGCACATTGGCTGTCAATAATTCTTAATTTTGTGTGTTATTAATATTGTTAATAGTTATTAATAATTTTCTGTACTTTGGCCTGCAAAGTTGTGGTAGGTGATAGCAATCAGACAAAATGATCCTCCTTTGGGAGATGTTTGGGTTCTGGTATCTTTTGATTGCTCAGTTCTGTAGTTTCTGCCAGTTATGTATGCGGAAGTTTCTAGCCCTGTATTTGTGATGATTAGCTTGTATG